AACTTAGATAGTAAGTTTCAATCTCCAATTACCTTAATAGTATGTGAGTATATACTTTGATTTCTTCTGATATTTACATATTGTTAATTTTAAAGATTTGAGTATATGAATATTCTCTTATTACTAGTTAAATCTGCCTCCGTCTGTGACTTACTGCTACCCATTGGTCTCTGTGAAGTATTACCTTAATTGACACACACTGTCAACTGTAAAAAACTAGTATGCATTGCCAAAGTGGCGCTTCTGTTTCAATGAATTGTAATATAGATTGAAGCAATTCAGGGCAAGATTGAGGTAAACACAAAGTGATACTCTTGAAAATTTCTGACGTTCAAGGAAAGAAAATGCATAGTTATATCTTTTCGCGATGCCAACCCTTTTGGCTCCTCAGTTAGGAGTCAGATATAGCTAAAGAACCATGGAGAATAGAGTGCTAGCTACGTGTCCTTGTGGCTTTGTATTGCCTAACCTCGTAGATATCACGTAATTTGTCGCTTGCCCTCTTAGTTACGTTGTAGACTTTGAAATCCAAAAAAGCATGTAATATTTTACTCTAATGAATAACCAGAAGTAACTGTCCAATAAGCAAAGTACAGGGGAGTCGGTTATCGAAAAAAGCCAAATATAGTGGATTCAACTGTTTAGCTGGAGGCTGGTTAGTGCCAGCTAAATAATTCACAAACTCTCTGTTCTTCTCTTAGGATATTGAAGTGTTTTATGTGTGCTCCAATTTCCATTATGTCTTAATCCTTTCAGGCTGACTTATCCAGTTACTATGTTTCATCAACTTCTCCGGTTTGTTTTCTATCCTTAGTTGAGCTTCTTGTGTTTCCACCTGAATGCACCTGCCAGCTGCTCATTGTGTTTTTTTTTCTATTCTGCACGCGGCGACTTAATCTTGTGATTTGATGCCTTGGATTCCCTTTTAGATCATTATGACAATCCTAACTTCCTCCCCCTTGCTCTTCTCCTTATTTTTTATAGACAAGAACTGAAGGATTTCATTCCCTTGGAGTTTATCAATCTCTAAAGAAGCTTCTGAAGCATGAAGGTGTTATTGGATTCTACAAGTAAGTGTATATTTGATTTTAAAAACTAGAGTTTGTTGTAGAAGAATTTTTTATTCATGACGCCATGTATTGCAGAGGAAATGGAGCAAGTGTTCTTCGAATTGTACCATATGCTGCACTTCATTACATGACTTATGAACGGTATCGAGGGTGGATATTGATTAATTACCCTGCCTTAGGAACAAGACCTGTTGTTGATCTTTTAGCTGGCTCAGCATCTGGAGCTAGGAACTGCAGTTTTATGTACCTATCCCCTTGATTTGGCTCGTACCAAACTGACTTATCAGGTGCTTAATTTGTTAAAAATGCTTTTGTTTTTCTTCCTATTCTTGGTGAATATCTGATTGTATTTGGTAGTTTTACTACAATAGCTAGTTTTGTGCATATTATGTGCTTTTCCTATTGAAATTGTTTCATTAACACCGTTTGGCAAAGTTGGAAATTGATCTGATTGGAAGCACTTACAAATTGCCTTGCTTTAGTATGATGAAAAGCTGTTTCTGATTTTTTGACTTCATCAAAATGGCAATATACCTTGTCACTTCGTTAGATGTGTAGACCGTCGTAGGTAAGCTGCCTACTTTATTAAACACTCATGTAAACACTCAGGTAAGCTGTTTCTCATGTTATCAAAAAATGTAATAATAATCCATGGGTAACATGTTAATTTAGCTTGTCAATAAGACTTGTATTGAACAAGTGGTATATTGAGCTTGTCAATATTGACCTGTATTGAAAGCTATTCTTTGTCCTTGGTGTTGTGTTGTAGTTTCAAACAAGTGGTATATTGAGTCCATTGCTTGATCTGCCAGCAATTCTTTGCTTTGTTTTTAAAGCCACAATTACTTGATTAGTTCAAGTATTCAATCTGAATGTTCTGTTTCTGATAATCTAGTGTAGATTTTATGCTTATTATCGCTTCCAAATTTATTACACAGATGGATTCTCGCGGTAAAAAAATAAAAAAATCTAAGAAGAAGAAACACACTTTACCTACATCAAGTCAGCTTCCTCCACCTATACCAAATATGAGCTCTCTTCCTATGCCTCCTCGTCCTTCCATGCCAGCTTCACAGTCATCTGACTTTTTCAAAGTCCCTCCCCCATCTAGCTCGCTTGAGTATTACTCCATGCTTCTCTGGTGGTGGCTTCGACCACCATTAATTTCATACTCACGCCTCACTTCCCAGCTTCTTCCCCGCGTGGTCCCTGCTAGTCAGATCGCAGTCACCACCGATTGTATCCTCGAGCCATCATAGTAGCCAGCATGGCGGTTCATCTTTTGTGCCTCATACATCGGCCACTCAATTATCATCTCCACATCATCCACTCCAAGTATACTCTAACTTGGATATTGGAGGCTCTCACGCAGCTGCATCCCCATCTACCAGTACGTCTACAGTTGCTGGTACCGTGAGACATTGTGCTGGAGGGACTATACAGTACGATCATCTTCATCGGCTGATTATCATTCCCCGTAACTCAGGTGAGTTTTTATTCAATTTTCTTTTAAAAACTTTCAATAAAATTTTGCATATAATGAATTTAATGAAATTTTATATGTTAAAATTAAATGCAGGTTTTTGCCATCCTTTCAGGCCGCGCACATGGTAATGGAATCTATAAAGCCATTTTTTGACGAGCCTTGGAATTCTTGGAAACAGATTCCGTACTAGATCAGAATGATATGTGGCACAATTACGGTAAGATAAATTAATTTTTATAATACTTATCCTCATTCGTCTAATATTAGTTATTCAATTTTGTAGGTTCACTGCGTATGGCAGCCAACATTTGAATATCTGGTGCATGATAACTTCGGGAAGAAAGCACAGAAGCTGATAACAAATTCACATCATGTTGCTAGGAAAGTGGCAAAAGCCTAATTGGATACGTGAAGATGTCTGGAATCAGCTCTTGGCGAAGTGGAACACCCCTGATTGGAAGAAGAAGAGTGAACAAGCAAAGTATAAACAGAGCTTCTACTAAGGTGGAACATTGCATACTGGAGGTTCTATTAGTTTTGAAGCCCATCGTTGGAGAATGGTAATTTCATTATAAAATATTCTTAGTTTTACAAGCATGCAAATTGAACATATATATATATATATATATATATATATATATATATATATATTTTTTTTCTTAATTAATTCTTAATTTTCAGGAAAAAGAACGTGGGGGAGATGTGACTTATGCTGAGGTCTTTGCAGAGACCCACAAGAAGAAGAAGAAGGATGTCACAAGAGAAGGATGGATCGAACCGCGTGCTTTAGAGACATTTGTATTATCCAAACACCAACACTATATTATTTTTCCTTCTTGGTTTTTTTTGTTTATATAACGTGTATTATTTTATTTTTCAGGACAAGTATCATATTGATCTTGATGCATGGAAACAAACTCAACCTGAAGGAACTCAGCCGACCCCGGAGGATATGACCGCAATTTGGACACAAGCGGCTGGTGGCGTGAATAAAGGTATAAATATTATGTAAATATCTATTTTGGTATTAATTTGAAAGTTGCTTATTTGTTTTCTTACTTCTTTTACTTTCTTTTCTTTATTTCTCGTGAAAATAATAAAATAAAAGTTGAGTCTACGGGATTGGAGTACAGCCATCCTCCAGTCGTCCACCAACAACATTATTCACTGGGGCATCAGTTTCCCAAGAAGACATGGAATCTATGCGTCAAAAAGTGGATCAAATGTCGCAAGAACTTCAAGAAACTCAGGCTTTGATCCAAAAATTATTAAAAAAAAAAAAACAAGAAAAGAGCTGCAATGGAGTCTGAGTCTGAGTATGAGTCTGAGGAGGAGATTTAATCTGAATAGGCTATTTGAATGTTTTAGAGTTGAAGTTAGAGACATGTTTAATCTATGTTGTTTGATAGTTCGTTGTTTCATTAGTTGGTTGAATTGTTATAAATATTATTGTTCGCTTTGTGGTAAATATTGAATTTTGGATTGTTATATTAGGTTTTTGGTTGATTGTTAGGTATTTGGTTGGCTGTTTTATTTGGCAGGTGGGTAATTAGAAATACAGTAGGATTCTGCCTAAAAATGCCAAGATTTGCGACTGAATCCAACACAAAGTTCACCAGGAATTATCCAGATTTGCGACTGATTCAGTCGCAAATTGAAAATTTCTAACAAAGTTCACCCCAATATTTTTGCGACTGAATCAGTCGCAAATGGAGAATTTTCAATATTTTTAATTAATTAATAATTATTATTTACGACTGTTCCACTGAGAAGTTAGGGACTGATTCTGTCGCAAATTTAGCGTCTGATTCTGTCGCAAATTTAGCGACTGATTCAGTCGCAAATTTCTAAATTTCAGATGACCCCGCATTTTTCATTTTGCGATTGCATCCGTCACAATTTTTCGACTGATTCAGTCACAAATATATTGCGACCACGTGTTTTCTGACTGACACTTTTCAGTTGCAAATCGGTCGAAAATATACGATTAGCGACTGATTTGCGACTGTTTTGACGGTCACAAATTTGCTATTTTTAGTAGTGTATGAGGAGCTTATGCACTGGTTCGATGGCTTTGGAACGACTCTGGGCACGTTCGAGGACGAACGTATGTTTAAGTGGAGGAGGATGTAACGACCCGACTGGTCGTTGTGAGCAATTTTGTCCGGTTCTGCAGTTTGAGGTCACGAGTAGCTTCATATTATGTGTATCGACTTGCGTGCGCAGTCCGGGCGTGAAACCGGAACGCTTTTATGTAAAAATATGAAAAATATAGTAATTTCTGTTGTGGTCGCAAATGTGAACTTTTTCATCGCAATTGCATGCCCATTTCGCAAATGCGAACTTTTTGTTGCAAATGTGAATTCTGCCAGCCCTGCCTTGTTCGCAAATTGCGAGGTTTCGCAATGCAATACGACATCTGAGGTCTGTTAAGTGAGATTTTTGACGAGATTTTCACCCATTTTTCAATTTTCACAAACCTTAAACCTCCATAGGCGATTTTCCAAAGACCCAAACTTCTCCAAATCATTGGGTAAGTGTCTCTAATCAATTTCCAACGATATCTTGTGATTATATCTTAGATTTTACATCAAATTCATGAGAATCTAAAGGAAAATTTGGGGATAATTGTGAAATCTTTCAAAAATGTAAAATGATGATTTGAATGACCAAATGGTATCGGAATTAGTTAATTTTTGTATGGGTGAACTCTTAGCGGAATGGGTGTTTGGTTTTTGTAAATTTTGTCAGGTTCCGAGGTGTGGGACCGGGGAATTGACTTTTGTTGACTTTTTGCAAATTGTATAAGAATCATAGTTTTGTCAATTGAAATTGTTTTCTCTTGCATTGTTTGATGTATTCAAGTCGTTTTTGGCTAGATTGAGCTGAGCGTTGATGAATCGGTAAAGAAAAGCTAAATTGAGTATTGAATTGGCCGGATTGAGGTAAGTATCTTGCCTAACATTGTGTGGGGGACTTCCCCTAGGGTTTGAGTCTTCTATGCTAATTGTAGTCCGTGCACGCGAGGTGACGAGTATGTGCTCAGACTTATTGTGGGAAATTTGCCTCTAGGATTCTTAGGTCCTTATGTTCATTATGTGCAAAGTATTTCGTCATGCTTGAGTTTTCTAATTGCTTAAATTACCTCTATATGCTCCATATGATGTTGCTAGCTTTCCTCTAATTCTTACGTGTTACTTGACCCCTAATTGCCTTAATTGAAGTGATTGCCTTCCTTATTATTTTGATACTTCTTGATTGTGAGTTCCTCTATGACTTCGTGCAAATATGTTACATGTCCATTTGTTGTGGTTACCGATGTAATTATCACGTGCTTATTATGTCTTGTTGCTTTGTTAAGGTTAGTGTGCTTCTTGGTTTTTTTCGTGATCCTTATTATGTACTATTCATGCTTGACTTGATGAGTATTCATGTTGGACCACGCTTATGGTAATTCCTTGGTATTTGACCGTTGTTGAGTATTGACTCAAGTTTGGATTCATTTTGTTAAGTTAATTGTTGGAACGAGATTGGTTTTTGTTGATTCCCTTTCCGAGATGTATTGTTTCTATTGTTGATTCCCTTGTTCGGATGTATTTGTTTCTATTGTTGATTCCCTTGCCGGGATGTATTTGTTTCTACTATTGATTCCCTTGCCAGGATGTTGTTGATTCTACTGTTTGGGTGAGGAAAGAGTAATAAAGCACGAAGGGTGATGCCATGCACATTTACAATTATATTGATGCATATGGTGAGGAAGAGTGATAAAGCACGAAGGGTGATGCGGTGCACATTGATACTATTCATATGGTGAGGAAGAGAGATAAAGCACGAAGGGTGATGTCGTGCACATTTATACTATTCATAGAGTGATAAAGCACGAAGGATGATGCCGTGCACATTTACATTTATATTGATAAATATGGTGAGGAAGAGAGATAAAGCACGAAGGGTGATGCCGTGCACATTTATATGACTCATATGGTGAGGAAGAGTGATAAAGCACGAAGGGTGATGCCGTGCACTTTCTGTTTGCTGTGTTTATTTGTTGTTATCAATTCAAGTGTTTTAACTGTTTAGATTCCTTTACTGCTGTGATCCTTTGTGTTGGAATTCATAGTGTTTTCAATACCTCGCCGTATTTATATATACATATTTCAATACTTCAAATTTCAAAATTGTCACATTTTTAATTCAATTAGTTACTCAATTAAATTCCCTTAAACGTCTGAAGTTGTAATTTACTTAAAAAGAAATTTCTACTAAGTTAATTTATTAAATCCCATGTTAAAGGTAATTATTCATTCGATGTTGTATTTTAAATTGAAAATGGTACTTTCTTTATTCAAATGATTCTAAAAATAACTTCATCTTTTCTTGCTGAGTTCCTAATTGGTTTAGAAGCTGTACTCTACTTTATATTATGTAAATGAGACTTCTGGAACATCTTAATTGCATTAGTTATGGGTCCTATGTACTGAGTAACATGAGAACGTTGTTGTACAAACTGAGACAAAATATGTGGGCACAAGGTGCCGGGTGTGCTAAAGGTTTGGAAGTTGAGGTTATGATATGAGACATCGAGTTTTGAGATGGCTGGGGTTGTGCACCAGAAACAATATGATTGATTGAGTTGACACTGTCTTCCTTACTTGAGTTCATTCTACTTCTCTGTGTTCTAGCTATGTTTGTGTTGATTTATTTGGTTATCTTTCGTTTCCATCCGAGTTTCCTTTAATTATTTTGACTGTTTGTAGATTGATTTATCCATGCTGTTGATATTATTTCGTTACCTTTATCTTGATATTTGTTATCATATCCTGTTTAATCTGTCTTACCAGTAGGTGTCTTGACTGTTCCTCGTCACTACCCCGCCGAGGTTAGTCTTGATACTTACTGGGCACCGCCGTGGTGTGCTCATACTACACTTCTATACACTTTTGTGTACAGATTCAGGAATTGATCGATAATAGCTGTGCAGATCGTCGTGGTAGAGACTCAAGGTAACCTGCTGCTGCGTTCGCACGCCTCGGAGTCACCTTCGTTTGTATTTACGTTCCATTGATTCCTTCTCGTTCTGGGATAGTTTTGTATTTATTTTGTATAATTACTCTTAGAAAGGCTTGTGACTTGTACCACCAATTTTTGGGAATTGTAATTTGTTCCGAGTAATTTAATTTAAAGTTAGTAAATATCCATGTTATTACAGAAAAGGTTAGGCTTACCTAGTTTAGAGACTAGGTGCCATCACGACTCCTTTGGAGGAATTTTGGATCGAGACAAGTTGGTATCAGAGCTCTAGGTTCATAGGTGCTACGAGTCATAAGCAGGTTTAGTAGAGTCTTGCGGATCGGTACGGAGACGTGTGTACTTATCTTCGAGAGGCTACAGAACTATTAGGATAATCTCACATTCTTCATTCCTTATCATGCAATATTGATTCAGCTCGAAGCATATAACTTATGTTCCTTTACATCCACTCGTGTGTAATATTACGCTCTCGATGTCCACTATGCGCCAGTGGTTCGTGATGCTACAGATAGGCTACGAAGGAGTCAGGGATGCTCAGGCATTGCCTCGACGTGTTGTCCAGACTGAAGATACAGAGGCATTAAGAGTCTATTCAGTTGTTCGTATGGAGGCGCAGCGATTTCCGGCATCTGATTGATGAGTGCGAGCTTGGGAAGGTTTAATTGGTTGACTAGTCGTCGCGATTATGGCAAGGCCACGAAGTGGGTGTTGATTGGGAATAGTTGGTGGTATTTAAGTACCTTGTGATTTGTGTTGTACGAGCTTTGAAGGTTAGTTTTGCGGATCATCAGACGTTGTTTTCTATGGCTTTGCGCCAAGTGGAGGAGTTCAATAGCGGCATTCAGATTGCAGAGTTAGATTTATATCAGATTTGGCCTCAGGTATGTGTATATGTGGTATTAGTGGGTTCCCAGATTTTGTGTATTACCAAGGTCTGAGATCTTGCACGGGATGATGTTGGGGCTTACAGTGTTACCGTGTCATTAATGGATCTACATATCAGCATCAAGGGGAGTTGGAGGAACAACTTCAGATTCACAGAAGGTCTATTCAGCGTAGGTGCCGTGGTTGCGGCAGGACGGGGTGCTTCAGAGGAAAAGCAGTAGTTTATAAGCTTCTGGGCTACGTGGTTCATGTTAGGATCACCTGTATTTGGGACTTTGATTGGGATTATTGCATATCGACTATCCGAAGAAATGGGTAAGCTCCGTGGTGTTGTGTCGGCATAGCGATGAAGTAATTGGTCCTTTGAATAGGAATTCTCTACTGGCATTTGTGGTAGCACTCTTGGATTGGACGGTTTGTGTGACTCGGTTGAGTTAGGGAGGTGCAGTCCTGATGTCTTAGTTGCGAGCGGGCGGATCTCGAAGAGTTCTCGGTGGTTTGGCAACGGCTTGAGTTGGCTGTCTACTATGAGCGTAAGGAATA